ACGTTTCATTTCCTTCTCCAGCACTCAGGGTTGCTTTGTAATTCCACAGCTTTTGCCTGCTGTACATGGCCATTAGCTGCCATGAGCTTCTCAGAACACAAGAAGGCCACAAGTCCCTCAGCCTTCTGGACAATGTGCTTCTTCTTGTCTCCACTGCTCATCAGATTTCAGATCTCTTTCTGCAGTAACTTCTGAAATGGCTGTCAGGAGTGGTTGGGCAAAGAGAAATTTTGTGGTAACAAAGGAGCATGGGAATGACTAAGGAAAAATGATGACCACATTCCACATTAACCAAGCTTAGATCCCCGAGTTACTGAATTTCCAAGTAGAACAAGTAGGGGAAAAGAAAGCCATTCTCTAATGGTATCCAGCGATCTGTATTTTCTTACCTTGTGTTCCCACATAGCCAACAGGGAGCTGGATTTGAAATCCTAAACAAGCTAAGTGAGTGAAGGGAGACAGGGCTTGGCCCTCGCTGACAAACCCAGTTATGCATTGCCTCGCTCATCAGCGACATAGTCTGGCTTGGACATTTTTAAAAGAAGCCTGCTGAACATCTGCTGTGCGATTAATGAACTACAGCAGCATGCCACAGTGGTCCCCGGAAGGACATCAGCAGCCCCATGCATGAGACATGAGATGTGACTGGCAGTGCCTTTCTTCCTCCTTCTGTGAGGAAATAAAAAGGGAAAGGGAGCTGGACTGGAAGCTCTACACCGAAGTCTTCACTCTCCGTCCTTTCTCCAGGCTTCCTCTCACTGCTGGGTTGGCCACTCATACGCTTTGTAATGTCATAACTTTTGCCTGCTAAACACGGACATGCCTACAACTTGTATTCTGAATAGTACTGTTAATTTTTCATTTAATAAAAGAAAATGGCAAGTAGCTCAGTCTTCCCAACCTTGACCCAAATTGTCAAACTTTCCAGATGTCAAAATTCCCTCTATCATCTTTGGTAGACATAGAGTCTAATATCATTTTCAAATATTTTTTGATTTGTTTTGCTTTTCTAAATCCTATAGTTAGAGTCAACTTAGGATCAATCTCAAGCAAGTTGATCTCATATATACTTTACTTCTCCATCACAACTGTTGAAAAATGTCAGTCTCTGTATTTTTAGATTTATTCATTTGGTACAGGGTCTTGCTATGGAGCTAAGACTTGGAGTGATCCTCCTTTCTCAGCTCCTCCAGTACTGGGATTACAGGCTTGCATCACCATGCCCAGTTTCTGTAGCTTTCATGGTGTGGGGCCAGCACAGCATATGATACTGGGGATGGAATCCAGGATTTGTGTTATCCAGACAGGCACTTAGACTGCTGAGCTATCTCCCTGGCCCCAAAAAGTGCCAGTCTTGGGGCCAGTGAGAGCTCAGTGGTCTAAAGCACCTGCTTATTCAAGCTTAGGCAGCCTTAGGAAACCATGGTTTGATCCTCGGCACCACGTGCTATGCCAGCCCTGAACTCAGGGTGGGCTGAGCCAGCATGACCCCCCAAAAAGTGCCAGTCTTGACACAGTCTTAGTTTCTGTGGATACGAGTCTGGCCCAGACTGACATGGCACCAGAAGATTCACTCTATTATAGTTTGTACAAACATGGCTGAGATCCATGTGCCAAAACTTTCCACAACTCATTGATTCTAAAATGTTGGACTTTCTATTCATTTTACTGTTTAAAATGGTGTTAATTTCCTACAGAAGTTTTCATCAGGGGCTAGAGGGATAGTTCAGTTGCAAGTCAGCCAGTACAATATCTCAACAAATCCAGCTAGTCAGGTTTGGAATTTGACTGTAGAAAAACTCTACTATGAAATCTAGCTAGGAAAACAGAAAGCAAAGAAAGGGGAGGGGAAGGGTGGGAGTGGAGAAAGCCTGAACGATCAAATGGCTGGAAGTCAAAGTAATTTCTCACTTTTTCCAAGTGGCACAATGTAAGACTGCAGTTCTTCCAGGAGCTGCCAATTATTTTGTCTTCTTGGTAACTTTGCTTCCTGATTTCCTGTGTCACAGCAAGCTTCCCTTCAAATGCAGCATGACTTATCTGTGTTCCTGGTAACACACTCTTCTGCCAGTGTCTTACCTCAGGAGTCTGAATCTTGCTCTCAAACTCCTAGCTGCGAATGAGCTGCGTCCTTGAGTGGGAATTTTTCGGGTCTTCCTAACTTTGCAAGAGTCTTGGCATCTAGAGCGCCCAACAGCAGGTTGAACCCCTGCCCTTACCGGGAACAGACTTTCTGCCTGGACTGCAGATGCACAAAGACTCTGAGATGTCCTCACTGAACTGGTTTCTTGGCCGAGCCCCTGGCCAACTCAGTCTTGTCTGATCACCTGCATTTATAGTCAGTGTTTTGCACCTCGGCCTCAACTCTGAATCAGTCCTCTACGCTAGAGGGCTTCTTAAAATATCAACCGAAGTAAGATTTCAAATTCACCCTAATGATGAGTCACGTCTGAAATACAACACACTAATAAGTTAAATAAAAACAAGTACAGATAATAACAATGGAGAGAACTCTAGGTGGAAGAAGAGAGATGCAACGTGATTGGTCTCCAGAATTGAAGACTTTGAGAAACAGGGCTAGTTTTCTGCCTACATTGACTCAGAATGTTCTCTTGTGATTCTTCAATAGAGACTTTTTGTGAATAAAGAGTGTCTTCTGACAAACTGAGCTGCTGTGCAGCACAGTATGCTTTCTGAAGCTCAGAGCCTTTAAGAAGCTGAGTATGCAAAGCAAACCTTCCAACACAAAGCAAGGACCAGCTGGTTATATCTCTTCCCATACAGAGTTCAGTGTGAACTATAAGACTCGGTGGTGTTTATACAATAAACCCAGAGAGAAGTAGCTCTACTTAACACGGATGAGAAGCCGAGGTCCATAACAGGTTAGGTCGTTGGTTTAATTAAATCTCACACACCTCTCAGTGGTCTTAATGGTTTCCCAGGCCTCTCCAGCATATTACAAATGATTCACCATGACTCTTCCACCTTCTACCTCCACAGCCCACATTTACAAACAATGACATTTAAATTTTCATTTGCTTTAGGCAATGGAATTTTTAAAATCAAAATTCTATGGAACTCTAATTTTAAAAAAGATGAAATCTAATAGGAAGAATGGTCAGTGCCTGTCCTCTCTATTCAGGGGCACATCCAAGCGTCTCCAGGGAAGGACGGGACAGAGCTGGAAACTGCGCTCCTGTGCTCCTCACGCAGCTGCCAATCTCAGTGCTGCTAGCACTTTCCCTTTTTAGCACCTGGTGCTTGGAATGATTTCTCGAGTTTAGCCCTATCTGTCCTTTGAGAACACGCTCAAAATGATGCTCCATGGGCTGGGAGGTAGCTCAGTGAAGTACGTGCCTGCCTAGGCAAGCTCAGGGTCCAGGGTGGGATCCCAGGCACCACATGCCAGTCCAGGGCCTCCCTGGGCATGCTGAGCTGGCAACTGAGGCTGGGCGCGGTGGTGCACGCCTGTAATCCCAGCACTGGTGAGACTGAAAACAGGAGGATCACGATGAGTCCAAGCTGCCTAGTGAGACCCTGTACCAAATGCATGAAGAAAGAAAGAAAGAACGAAAGAAAGAAAGAAAGAAGTTCCGTCTCTAAAATACTTCATATCATTCGGACCAGATGCAGTTCTTTTGTGCTTTGAATTCCTATACAACTTTTGTTGCTCATAATCAAGAAGAATAAAAAGCACAGCTTACTCTGCACCAGCTGCTGCCCTAAGTGCACTGCCTGAATCAGCCTAATCTCTCCTGGGTGCCTTCGCCATCTTGGAGGCAAGTAAAATTTAAATCTGTTTTCTAGGTCATCAGAGTTAGTACCAGGGCAAGACTGAAATCTATGACCGGGCTGTAAGTCATTTAAAATAACATGGAGTCCAAATGCATAAATATGGCACAGTACCTCCCGACATAAGCATTTCTTTAGATCAAGAATTACACCCCCCCAAAAAAATAAATTAAATAATAATAAAATAAAAACTTCTCAGGTGCTCAGAGGCAGGGCTTTCCGGCGGCGATGGGATCCGAACTGCACTCGGGAGGCGGGGTGTGTCTGGAGGTGGGCATGTGACGTGAAGGCTCTGCCCTCGCAGGCTCCTCCTTCTCTCTGCTTGCCACCTGCCATGACATGAGCAACTTCTCTGCCCGAGACCCTTCGAGAAGGTCCTTTCGGCCTGGGTGCCAGCGGGCCATTGGCTGCTCCCAGGAGCCAAAACCAGCCCTTCCTTCTCCAAGCTGTGGGTGTCGGGCACGCATGCGGACTGCAAGCAGGTGACAGCAGCCGCTGCACTGGCCGCTCTCGGGACACCGGCTTCGCTCCCTTCCTCCGCCCACGGCCCCTTCGCCACTGCTGCTCCCAACCTGGCCCTCACCATGCCTGGATTATAAGTTTATGAAAACAGTCCTCCCCGCAAGCATTTGTACTTCACCATCTACAAAAGGAAGTGTCCAATAAACGAATAATGTCCATTTAATTTATTTCTGATATACACTATAATACTGATTTATAAAATCTTGGGACTACTGCTTTTGTCACTGGGACATTTCCACAGCCTTCTAAAAAGTATTTCCGTTCTGTTTCATAGGCAAAGAGGCATTACCAACTTGATATCACCTAACTCACTACTGCCCTGCAGAACTGCTAATTTCTGCTATTTCCCCCGAATCATATTTAAAAAAGTAAAATAATGTGAAAATAGGCCTTTGCAGAAAAAAATAAAAACCAGGTTACTTATAAGTTTAAAGTTATTTTCAAGAAATCTGGTAAGACAAAGCCATGCGTCTAGTGACTTTTGGACAGTTTTGTTTTCTAGGAACTAAGTAGGAAACACCATTGTCTTCTGTTGTTTAACTGCTGCCCCTTTAACACCAAAACGTGCAGCAAGGAGACTTCCAGAACTGGGGCCCACGTGATGCTCAGCTAAGGGAATGTCAAGTCCTGAACTGGTGACGGAGACACAGGGAGTCGCAAGCCCGCTCCCCTCGGCGGGAACTGACCTGCGGTTAGGTGTGCCGCGTGCACGAGGACCTGGACGCCAGGCTTCAGCTCGAAGTGCACCGAGTTTTGGTTGAGCTTGTGGATTAGCGCTTCTGATATCTGAAAGAAGAAGTGCTAGGGTTAGAGCCACCAAAGCCTTCACAGCAGCTAGAAGTCGCCAGGCTGCGAGGTCCTCACCTGTTGAGCAGTGCAGTCTACTACCTGCATTATGTCCACGAGCTACATAATTAGCAGCACCCAAGTCACAGGTATAATTATGTAATGAATAGGTGCTGTGTGTCCTGCGGCTTAGTATCTAGTATACTATTAGATCAGTTATCTAATAGGACAGGTAACATGTTATTAATATGAAAAATAATGTAATTATATAACATATAATTATATGGCTTTATCTGTGAATTATGTACATGAGCTTTATATGGTTTGATTACTTTACTCCAGAGTATGTCTATAGTTTTATCATGGCCTGACTTATACCATAATCCTTACACAATAAGACAAACTATTAGTCAATAGGATATAAGATAATTTCTGATCCTAAAAATATCCTGTTTATCCTTACAAAAGTCATCCCAGCTTTTTCAAAAAGCATTTGTTATACAGAAAGAGATTCAAAATAAAAAAATTGTTTTTAAAAATGCTGGTGTTGCAGCTCAGTAAGAAGGCCCGCACGCTGCGCCTGGCTCTCGTCTCGCTCACTCTGCCGCCTCCCCCAAGCCACAGCCCGGGAGTCGCACAGAACACGCCCTTCATGACTGCCTCGAGTGGCAGAGATAGTCCTGATGAACTTCCGAGGGGCACCACTGAGGCAGAAGCAGCCTCGCCTGGGCCGTGCCCCGCGCGTGTGCAGAGCGGCCAAGCGGCTGGGGCCCGACCCACGGGATTGCATTCGTGGACTAGGTAGTCCAGCAGCGGCACAGAGCCTGGATCTGAGAGACTCGGTGTAAGACCTCGAGGCGCACTAAACTTCCGTTCACTCTTCAGAGGAGGCCTTCTCTCAGTTTGCTTGTTCTTCAGGAATTTCAACAAGCCCCTGAGAGCCAACCACACTCTTATTTGTTTAAAAAAAAAAAAAAAAAAAAAAAAAAAAAAAAAAAAAAAAGGGTGTCCCTGCCTTACTATGTCATTGTAACCAATTTTGTGTTGCTTTCTCTTTCCCCCCCCCGCATCTGTGGTTCCATTTTCTCCACTGCATCACACGTGACACCTCTGACCCCCGTGAGCAGTCAGCAGCCCCAGAGCTCAGCCCTGCCAGCCCCCGGCTGGTGTGCAGGAGCCTGGCCCAGCAGGGCTGCGGCGACCCCGCGCAAGCGCCGCCCATCAGACGCGGAAAACGGACTCGGCTGAAAACTCTCCCTCTCCCCTGAGATGCGCCTTCTCTTGAACACCTAGAATCTTCCAGAATGGTCAGGTCTACAGAAGGAGTGGATTTCTAACCAGTGTCACCTATGGGCTAGCGAGTTTCCTCTTTTTTTTTGGCAGTACTGGGATGGAATCCACAGTCTATGCGCCGAGCCTCGTCTCCAACTCTTCTGTTTATTTCATTAGTTATTTGAGGCAGGGTCTTTCTAAGTCACTAAGTTGCCCAAGGTGAGCTCAAACTTGTAATTCTTCGTCTCAGCTGTCTTCGCCGTGGGGAGCACAGGCGAATACCACCACAGCCAGGACCAATGCACTTTTTAATAAATTCCTTCTTTATTCTCATCATTCAGATACTAGCATATCAAAGCTCTTGCATGAAGATTCTGCCTGTAAACTGCACCCGTGCACATTTAATATGCCAAGATTCATACATATATACATGTGGACACATTGCAAATAAATGCATATATATGATTACACAAAATACTTAATTCAAATATAAAAGACTTGTCAGAATCAATTATGAAATAGAACTGTTTCATAGAAACTATCCATTGACAAAAGGGAATTATGTGCTTGGAAGAGAGTAATTTCTCATGCTTAGCCAGGTAAAGTGATATTTATTTCTTATCCCTGCAAATGGCTTTTTCTCAAGTGAGTGATATAAAAAACTAAACCAGAAAATAGAATTCATCAGAATAGCATGTTTCTCATTGATAGTCTCCAGGAGGGTCCCTTTTGAAAATAATTAACTCCTTTGATGAGTTTGTTTGTAGTGCTGCTTGATAGGCGATGTCTGTACTCTTTACAGAACTACGCATGTTATACAAAAATAGCCAAGAAACAAAAACTAGACTGCATGTCTTTAACTTGTACCAAAGGATATCCAATAAAGAACACACACTCCATGGGGCAGAGAGTGAGCACAGGAAACAAAAACAAATGAAATTTACATTCCAAACAAGAATAACCTCAAATAGAACCATGTGCGTTTCTACTCTCGTGAATTAGTGTGAAGCTGTTGACTGATTTTCACAACATTTAGAATTTTTAGCAATGCACTTGCCCAACTGCGTCTGCTACATCACGTTGAGCAGGTCAGAGCTGCCCACACATGTTACAGTACGCTATAGATGCATTTGATTTGGATAAACTTGCTTAATTCTGGCTGCTTTGTGTAAGACTGCACATCTTAGGTGTTACAGCTGTTATCTCTACATGCTAGAACACAGCACTTAAGTACATTTACCCACTTAACATTTGAAAGGTTGAGGCTAGATTTCAGCTTTGATTGCTACTCTTATGCCATTCCCTTTAGAACTATGTTCTCAAGCCTGTTGACAAAGAGACAGCAGAAGATTTAGAGAGAGGCCTGGCTGAGTGGGACTCAGAAGATTGATAAATGCAGCATGGCATGTCCTACAGCCACCACCAGTTCACATATCAAGCGTGACAGTCCCAACATCCACCCTTAAGCCAGTCACCGGGATGGCCGAAGGGATAATAGGCCAGGGAAGGCGAACCTTTCAGAGTTTTCAAGGACACAAACAGCCTGGTGCAGCAGGCAAGCCCTTGGCTCGCCATCGCTAGAATAGGCCACATTCAGGGCTAGCACCTCCTTCCTTCTCACTGGTGAGTGCAATTTGAAACATTCAGTGAGTGTGCGATGTAAAGGTGGAATAGGCAGCCATCTACAGAGCAGTGGAGCAGAAGCTTAAGGACAGGAGCGCGCGCGTGCCTGGGAAGACTCAAGTGCAACAACCGGGATTGCTAGGAGACAGACCTGCTGCAGCAAATTCAATTTCTGTCTTTTAATTTTTCTGTCCAGAAAAACGTGTGTTTTCTTAGCAAATTTAATTTACCCTTTACCTTGTCATCCTTCCACTGCTTCTTTCGTACATAACCCATTTCTATTCTGCTTAGGCTGAACAATCAGGGCCACAGAAACAACATACTGCTCTTGGTACCTGCGTGTTCAGCACGAAAGGCCTATGATTCAAAAGCAGCCTACACTTCACTGAAACCACCACTGCAGCGGGCCCAGGATGCTGTAAGGCACCAGAAACACTGCCATCCCAAGGACACTGTAGGAGGGACATGCTAGGAGGAGAACACTGATCCTCCTTGTTTTCTGTGTACAAAAGATGACCATCACTTATAGCAGCCAGAAACGCCTGGGTTAGGCTGAAGAAAATGATTCTCAAGGGCTGAATCCCCAGCCAGGCATGCTTCCCACTGAGGGAGCGAGCTCACTAGGAGCACTCAGGGAGCCCCGCTGGGCGAGGACCACCGCAGCTGTCTCCACACCCTGCACCTTGGCGAGGAGAAGGCGTTCTCAAGTCTTGAGCACTGCACTCCTCCGCTTGGAATGACAAACGCCACGTCTCCTCCAAGCCCACTGGCCTGCTGCTGAAATCGTAGGACAACACACTCTCGGGTTATTCTTCATTCAAACTTTGATACATGGAAAATGTTTAAGAGCATTAGAGCAGTTGGTGAGTTTAAGAAATGTGTAACTAAAAGAAGGGGTTCAAAGTGATGATATCCACTGAAATGGAGTCAGTTTCAAGGCTGTGATGGGCCCACACACAAATGCTTATGCATGACACATGCAAGCCCTGATGAGCTCAAGCAGTTATCCTGTACTGTGCTTATTTAGACAGAGCCCAGCCTAAGGTCACCTGGGTACTGACTCTGGACATCAGTACAGATCCCATCATGCTCAGTTTCCTTAGGAGAGCGCTGAGGAGCCGCCCCATGGCATGCTGTGGAGGAAGCTCTCTCCCCGCTCCTACCTGGCCTTCTCCTGACTGGGTCATGGCAAAGCATGAAGCCAACCAGGAAGCCCACTTAGCCCAAGCTCACCCCATCCTGCTCCTTCTTAGCACAAAGCACTCAGCTTGATTGAAGCACTAAAGGTGTTTCCGAGATGACGTCCCTGAAGAAGCCACCTGGCCGTGAATCCCCTGGCTTGGTCACCATTGCCGTTAGGCCTCTCCATCTCCCGTCCTATTACTCCTGCCCAGCTCTTACCTACTCAGCTTTCCATTCAGTCCAACTATCTCAATGACCTTCCTCATGAGCTCCAGAGTGTATTTATCATCCAAACATTTACCTTAAAACTCAGGCTGATGGGGCTGACCACCATGCGAGCGTGCAGAAATGGCCTTCCTTAACCATGACATTTCACACTGCGTGGTCACTTTCTTACAACACTGCCAGTATGCTATTCCATCTTCTGTTCTGCTTTTCCATTCTCCTGTGAGTTCTAGACCCTGCAACTGTCATGTGTGACAATTTCTGCAAACTAACAAGGAGGAAATACGTGAGTGCAGCTGATGTTTTCCCTTAGTCATTTGTTTATTTTTATTTATTTATAATTTGCATATACATGATATTGGGGATTCAACTCAGGGCCTCGAACATGCTAGGCAAGTACTTTACCACTGAGCTACATGCTTAACGTCTTGCTTATTTATTTACTATTTCTTCATTCATTCATTCATTCATCCAGGTGATCTCACACCCTTTAAGAGCTCTGAAAGACAAAGCACATGGCTTCCCCTGTCTCCTCAGGTCAGTGCCTGGACCTCTACAGAGCCGGTGTCCTCCCTTCCTCCAGGACAGGCAGTGGGAAAGCTGTCACCACCCGACCTCAGGCAGAATCAGGAATGCAGAGCTAAAAAGCAGAGCTCTCTCCATACCTGAGCAGCTGGCCCCAGCCCTTCAGGGCAAGAAGGCTTTTTCTCCCTCATTCAAAGAAAGACAAGCAGAACCCTCCCAGACTGAGGTCACTTGATTAACCCAGGACCTATCGTCCTGTTAACAGGGTCAAGTGCCTCTGACTGTCAGAGATTTTCAATTTATTTCAGAGACAAGGTAGAGCAATGCAAGCCGGAATCTCTGTTCCGCAGGGAGAGTTCTCAGAGGCAGCACAGCCACGAGAGCTGGGAGCCCTTCCTGGGCGGTAGCCTTGCATTCTTTAGGCCCACCCACCGGCATCCCAGGGTCTCCTGTGCATTTACAAGAAAGGAGCTAGAGGACTCCTTAAGTTTCATGCACGATTTTGAGTTCAGCCTTAAAGGAAGGACCCATTTCTGCTGTTGGGGTTTACCTTGTGTCTGTCCTCAATTCTGTATATTTTATGACAGTGGAAGGCAGGGATCTCTGCCAGCCCATGGTCCCTGTCCTCTCCCCTCTTCTATCTCTGCATGTAGGCCCTGGCTGAGAGATGCCAGCTCATCCACATTGGACCTGTGAGAACCCAACCTGGGGCTCCTGCTGGTGCCCTTGTGGGAAGGCCAGTCCTCTGGGTGGGGTCTTGAACTGACAACTAGAATCGGGGGCTTGCTGCGGTAGCCTCGCTTCTAGGTGGCGTCATCTTCACACAGCCTTCCAAAGGGGCAGCAAGGGAAGGAGCTAGTCAGAAAGGTGGGTGGAGGTAATTTTGGGTGGCTCTGAATTTCACCATGACTGAGCTGTATCTCTGGACTTCTTGAAATTAAATGACTTCCTGAGGTCACTTCTTATCTATATCATTGGCTAACTGGCTGAGTCAAAGGAAAGGACTAGAAGATCCACCTACAGAGAGAACCGCAGGAGCCCACGCTGCCTATTTCACAGTCTCCAGAAATGTCCTCGTCTTCTCAGCTACTTCACTATTGCACTTTTAAATCTGGACAATAATATTCCCCACAACTAATACTCTGCCTTCAAGGGGACTTGATGTAGGCATTGCGTGGCTTTCCTGAGAACCCAGAACGATGGATACACAGTTTCCTTAACCAGAGTTATGAACCCTAGCTTGGGATCTTATTTTCCTTCAAAAGTACCAAAGTACATCTTCTTCTATAAATCTGCCTAACTTTCCTGTCATTAATACATTCTTTCTTTCCCATATCATCTTTATTGTCTTCTTCACTTTGTGAAATTCCAGCCATTAGTCTTTCCTTACCCTCAACATGCTTTCTCCCAGCATGCCTTTGACTCTACCCAACAATCCACTTCACGAGCCTACACATGTTTTGGCATTTGCCCAAACTGATCATAGTTGGAAGTGTGTATAAATGTTCACACTCTGCGTTCGTCATGGACGGAGCCCACAGTGGAGCCCAAGGACTTTGCTGTCACTCTTTATTCTTCTTAAGCGCCCACTGGGATCACTGTGACTTTGACAACACGACTAAGCTTTTCTGGCCCTTACTTTCCTGAGCCATAAAATAAAACCAGGAATATCAGCTCAAGCTAGAAATCTGGTGATCTCTAAACCTGTGATCTTTCTACCAAAATGTCTGAGCTCACTACACGGGTTCCAGGTGGTAAGCTGCGCAGCTCTTGAGCAAGGCCACACCTTTAGTTCACTGCTTAAGTGGTTCTTGCCAGCTCTGAAAAACTATAACACTTGGGAGAAACAGGGCTGGAGAGAAAGAAGCCCAGAGAAAGAGGCATCCAGAGAAAGACCCAGCCCTCAGCAAGCATGAGCCATTTCACAGATCCAACCTTTCCTTTCCACGGTTCCAATCATGTAGTCATCTAGAAAATACTGTGGTTTGTGAAAAAGGGTGAGAACAAAGGTGCACAGATGTTGCAGTGCTTAGGAAATGGCTGGTTGTAGCTGTCAGCTGCCTTCCATGTTTGATTAAAACTGACTATCTTAGAAAACTCTTAAGACCTCCAGAGAAGGAACTCCTGGAAAGGTTGAACCTCAAGGATCTTAAAGAAGCTACTTCCCTCTTGTCAGCACTCCTGTGATTAATTCAAAAATCATTACTTTCTCTTACTAAATTACAGCACTGATAATCTGTAGAATGTAATGGAAAGTCAAGCCAGGGAGTCAGAGGTTGAGCGCAGAAGTGAATTCAACGTTGCCTGCTGTCCAACCTCCAGTTGCCTTTACTGGGAAGCAGGGTTCAGAAGGGTTCTGAAGATAATCATGTCCTTCATTACCTGCACATGGAGACTATTAGAGCCAGGAGAGAAAGCGGCAGCTAAAAGGAGGGCATAGGCCAAGAGGTGGGCACGCTGTAATTTGGGGATGCTCTTAATAAGGAGGTTTTCTTGTCATCTTGGAAGAACTAGTGATCATGGATTTGGAGCTTACTCAGAGTAAATTAAAACGCTCCCAGTACTCCACATCCTCCATACTCCGTATCTACTTAGTGATTGAGAGGAATCCCTTTGAAAATCTATGTTCCTAAAAGAATTGCGGAGCCTGAATCCTTAGCTTTCTAAAGGAATGGCAGATCAAGGCTGCTGATCATTTTAACTGATTGGATGAGGGGTTAGATTATAATCCCCACACTAGAGACAGGAGAGACTTTTGAACTGAAATGAGAGAAATTAGAGTAAACAAAGCAGGCAGACAGAAGAGAAACACACACACACACACACACACACACACACACACACGTATCCCAATGCTCCATGACTGATGGACAGGTGAAGGTGGATCCTCACGTAGCCTATGTGTGTCCCAGAGCCAATGCCAACATTTTATTATGAATACAAATCAGATTTTCTTAACAGTGATGATCAAACAATTTGCGATTTATAAAGCGTCGCATCTTTTAAGAGAAATATCATGCAAACCTTATTTGAATTGCATGACAGTTTTTTCTTTTTTCATGCTGAGGCTCAAACCCAGGGCCACTGGGCTAAACCCCAGCCTGCACGCTCACCTGATAAAATAAGCTATATGCACTGCACACTATTCACTACTTGCTTTTTAAATTTACATTGGACATCGTGATGCAGGGAGGTGTAGGTGTGCATAGCTCACAGCGCTGCAGAATACCCACTGAGTCATTCAGCTGGTCGGTACAATAAACACTCCCGCCAGGTGCTTCCTGGTGAGGCTGCAGTCAGGCCATGTGAGTGTGGATGGGAAGTGGAGGACAAGAGAGCCAAAGTCCATGGGAAAGCAGTCCCCTCACCCCAGAGCCCCGGTCCCCAAGGTCCTTGGAGCAGCTGTGTGGGGCTGCCCTGGGGGTGGCTCACACTGCGGACAGAAGCTGAGTGCCACCGCACAGGGACTCACCTGCTCCAGATCCTCCGGAGACCTTCTGTTCTCTCCAGCTGGGTCCTGGGAGGGCAAAACAAAGAGCTCCGCAGCGGTGGGCAGCCCGGGCAGCACGGCCACCAGGATGTGCTGGCTTGGAACCCCGGTGGCCTAGAGGAGGAGACAGAGTTCAGGAGATTCCTCAGGGAGGCATAAAGGAGAAGGAGCCAAGCATTCTGGGCTGGGCAGAAGACAGGGGACATGGGGGATGGGAGGGCAGGTCTGGGACTCCAGGCTGGAAGGCCTGGGGAGCCAGCTGTGGTCTACCAATGCTCAGAGTGAGACAGGCTGAGGCCTAATCCTGATCCACCACTGGGAGGCTTTCTGCTCAGGATTGGTCTGCTCTGTGCCTGCCCTTCGTTAAGTGAAAGCAGGGACGGTGGCAGTGCCTGCATTTCCAGGAGCAACTGTGGGAGGGCAATGAGTCACACATGAGCATACACTGGGAGTGAAGCGCGGGCTCCTTCCGGAGGAGACCTCTCCATAACCTCTGGTATCTGCCCCCTGCTGGCCTCCCCCCACCACTTCTCTAGCCCATTGGGGTCACTTTTCCAAGCCACCAGCCAGCTCCTTCTCCTCATCTCTCCGCACAGGCCCCTCCCCAAGTTCTAGCCCAGACACATCTGTTGCCTCCTCCACAGCCTGGAACCTGATGCCCAGCCCTGCTTTGGGACACTCAGAGCCCTGCCTGGGCCATGCTGACTTTCCAGCCACCCAAGGGCTTCCTTTGCTTTGCACAGTCTTGAACTCATTCCTCTGAGTGCCTTCTCTAGAGGATTCTCAGATCAGTAATTTTAATCCTATTTTCCCTCTCTGTGACCAGTCAGATTATCACTTAGTTGTTTTGTCTGGCTTCCAACAAACTTATCATAAAACTAAGTTCTCATTTTTACCCTTGAAAATCTTCACTTTCCATTTAGGCAACAGGGAGTAGGCCTGTCACAGGTATTCTAGCCTGATGCCAACGCTGGATGCTGGGCTCTCCATCCCATGATATCAAGTCATCTCTCGAGACCTTGAAAAGCTGAAGCCTGCACCAGGGACCTTGCTAGTTCCTGCCTGCCAAAGCACCCTCTGTTGGCACCTGACTTGCCATCAGTGCACATGAGGTTCACAATGGCCTCCCATCTCCCAGAAGCTGCTGAGACCTCCAGATTCACTGCCCTCAACGTGGATGTGGCTGTTGCATCTTTTCTCCACTTCCAGAAAGTCACAAGCTGCACAAGGTCCATGAAAAGCCATGGGGAAGACGCTGGCAACACGCATGAAGCTTGGTGTGACTGCGCAGCCAGCGATGGTAACCCCCCAGCTCTTGGGCTCCTTCCTCTTGACACCAACACTAGCTGCTGTAGGACTCCTGTTTGATGCCCCTACTACGTTGCAACTCAGTGACTGACATCAGAGCATCCTCACCATTCATAAATATGTTTATTGAGTGACATTCAGTGTAAGACTGCCACTGTGCCTGCCCAACAGCAAAAGGCAATTGGTTGAAGGCACCGCAGCCAGAGGTATATCCAACCCTGTCACAAGATAAGAAGAGACCTACAAGGAAGCAGACTCTGTGTTCTGCCTCTGGTAGGGCTGGGTGGCTGCACTGGACACTGTGGCTCTGTGGGACTTAAACAAGAGGCCAAGCATCACTGAGGACCTGAAGGACAGCGCAGTGACGGACACCAGGGCCGGGGTCAGCTGCTGTGTGGGGTTGGGCCAGCGGGGATTCTGGGAGACCGGAGGCATTACGCACGCCGGCAGCCCGTGCTGCTCACGCCACCACCACCTTGTGCGGAGGAGGTTGAGCCAACACATTTATTCTGCGTTTAGCTGATCAGAATATGTGCTGCCTCGGAAATGTTGATGAGCAGTAACTTCTAGCCTTGGACAGCTGTTGGGAGGTGAAGGCCCAGGGCATCTGATCCCTAGACACTGAGCAGAAGGAGAACACAGCCCAGAAGGCTGCTCACTGCTGAGTTCACGCTTGGTTAATAAATCACCTAGAGGAGTTGGACAGCTGTCTGGGACACCCATAGGGACACGGGTCCCTAGAACTGGAGGGGAGAGGCGGGTGGTCATTAAAGTATGCTAGAACTCTTTCTTAGCTGGGAAGAGAAACCAGTTTTCATTCCACCTGTCGCTTCAAGGGCAAAGCCCTATTGCTTGGTCTTGAGGTCTAGGAGTTGCGCCTCCTGGTGGTCATATGTAGTAATTATTAGTAATACCCTGTATGGCTGCTGAGAGCCGTAAAAGCAAAGATGAGTCTGCAGGTGTTCAGTGCACCGTAAATATATCTTCTCTCCATTCCAGTATCCCACCCATGCTTCTTTCTTCTTACAAAGGGTGGGTACAGATTGGGATGGTTAGGAAATTACAAAATCCTGATCCTGACGTTCATGGTCTGACCATGATTTTTAACTGCCTGCTCTTGGGCAAGTGAGCTGATGTGGCATGCTTGAGTTTTCTCACAGACAAAGTGGGAGCAGCACAAGGCTGCACTGGAACTCATCTGTGGATTCAATGGAGAAAAATAATGCAAAGCACGGAGAGAAGTGTCTGGATTGCTGCCACGGGTTGAAGGGGCCACCAACAGCGGGGACACATGAGGCAGAGGCCACGGGGCTGGAAAGGCCTGCTCCTTTGTTCTTTTTTTTTTTTTTTTTTTTAGTACAGGGTCTCACTATGCAGATCAGAGTCGTAGTGATCCTCCTGCTTAAGGCCTCCCAAGAGCTGGGATTACAGGTGCGAGCCACCACACCCAATCTCAATCGCCACGCCCGCGTGCCCTGCGGGGGTGGCAGGGCACACTGGGGGTCGAACCCCGGCCACTGCGCTCTGCCGAAAGGGCCTGCTCCTTTGGAGTCCGGGCATCTGAACACCCTTGTTGCATCACTGTTTGGGGTGAGGGGGCGCTGTGTACTAGCAGCAGGAAGAATGTACAATAAGCTACATGGATTTGCCTTCTAGGCTAAGCAGATGCTGCAGAAAGTGTTCTCTGGTTTCCTGGGACCAAGCAGCCCCCGAGCTACCAGAGGCAGAATGGAGAGGGACGAGAGGCCAGCAAAGGAGAGGGCGTCTGCACGCCTTGGCGCCTTGCCGCACCCCTGGAGGCTCAGGCACTTCCGCTGCACGGTGGAAGCCCAACTTTTAGATCGAGGCCCTTCCTCTCCATTTTGCAGCAGCCCTGTCACCTGCTAACTCTGAGGAGTTTGGGAAAATTCCTCCTGGGAATGTGCAGCCACTTCCGCAGCCCCACTCGCACAGGAAGAGGAGGTCTCAGCAGAAGGAGGACGTAGACTCAGGACGCGCATCAGGCCCTACGTGCTCACTGTCCTGCTGCGTCCCGGGGAACACGGCAGGGACCCCGGCTGCTCCCATTGATTAGGGGCACCTACAGGCGGCCTTCCCTGCAGTGCACGCAGCTGCAGCTGCACTCGTGCATGGCCCCTGCTGCGGGTCTGTTGCTGCGTCCCTGCCCTCCTTCTCTAAGCGGAATGAGCCCTAGAGGCAGCACGAACAATGCGGGCATCACATGTGCCACCCGCGTGCCTCCCCAGGTCTGGGGGCTGCGCTCCGCTGTGAGGACCCAGCCTCGTAGCCCAGCTTCCTTGAGCTGCGGTTCTTCCTAGCTCCTCCCCTGAAGTTCTTTGGCACAGACAGGAAGTGTGTCCCAGTCCCAGAGCAAATCCCGTGCGCTCACCTGGACCAGAGCCTTCCTGATGACGCGGCTGATGTCCCTCCTCCACTCGGGGATGTCCGGGTTGTAGTCATCCAGATTTGGAGAGAAGGACAGGCGGAGAGAGCGGAACTCCTCTGGGGATACAACCGGAAGTGGTCTACTATGAGTGAAATGACTCTGCCACGCAGTATGAGCTCTAGTTTACCGAGAGCTCTCAGGGAGAGACTTGGCCATTCATGCGCATGAGCCGAGAGAACTTTCTGAGGGGCGCATTCACAGTCCCGCCCCTGATATCTCAGTAGCTTCTCGTCATGCGCGAAACCGAAGCGCCGATCTCGGCAGAGCCACTGCGCAGACCCTGCGCGTCACCGCAGGTCCCCACCGGGCGCTGCGGGGTAACTGCACCGAGACCTCTAAGGGCACAGCAGGTCTGTGGCCCCGGGGCCTTCGCACACCTCTTGTCTGCCTTCGATGCCCGCGCATGCCCCTGTCTGCGTAGAAAACACTCAGGTTCTCACAGAACTTTCCCGATGACCGTTCTCCTAACCACAGCCGCTTCCAGCACACTGCGGTGCCTTACGCCTGCTTTTGTTATCGCTGCAGGGCCGCTTAATAATGATTAGTTCACGATTACATACTTATATTTAACCTACACGTATGATTATGGTTTGCCATTATTATCTTTCTGTTAAGGTTTTAAAGAAATTTTAAGCTTCTGAGGTCAGGGATTTGGTCAGTTCATTATTATTTTTTTCTGTAGCCCCTGAGAAAGTCCGTATCCTCCAGGACTCAGGATGGTGGTTAAGTAGCAAGGCTTTTGTGAGTGGCACTGTGTTCAGGAGAGAAGGGTGAACCGAGGAGGCCTGAGAACCTGCGGACACTGTGGCACCCAGGCAAGTTGGGCTGGTGGGGGTGCAGGAATCCCTGAGCCAAAGTCAGGGGCAGTGGTGCTCCCTCTGCCCCAGGAAGGAATCCACCTTGGCACCCCAAGGCCTTCCTCCCTGGCTGGAGGAAGGGGCAGCCCTGGATCACAAACAGTGGTGAGCTTCGGCACCAGCCCAGAGGCCTTGCTTAGCCACACTCTCTGCTGCTTGCTTGGCCTCTGCATCCCATAACCCAGGGAAGACCTGGACCACGTCACTCTGACCTCGAGCCAGTTCAAGGGCCCACACTGCACTTAGAAGACAAGCCAGACTGACATGGGCAGTGCACCTTTCCACAGCCTGGTCCAGATCTCTCTGCCCATGCCCCTCCTCCCTACCCCAGCACATCCACCTCTTTCTCTTTGGGGACAGCTCTCTGACCCACCCCTCGGTCACTTCCCACACACCCCACACCTCCCATTTCTCTTCTTCATACTTAGAGTTAACTTTTTTTTTTTTTTTTTTTTTTTGCATTTCTCCCAAAGAGGAATATAAGCTCTAGAAGGTGAGAACTGCGTATTTCCACACTCAGGACCATGCCTAGCACACAACAGGTTTTTCACTACTTTCTTTGAGTCATTTCATTAGTAAATGTTTATTAATTAAATAAAATATTAAGTTATGTGAAGGCTTTCTTTTATTTATGCATTAACTTATTTAATGAACTATTCTAAGCCTGTGCATGTATTTCCATAGGGGCTGTGTGACTTTACCAGTGACAACTATGTATTCAGGAAGCATAAAAGATAGCTGGGGCAATTCCTAAGGATGCTAAGGATCCAGCAGCCACACACTCCAAAATTCTGCACGGGATGCTGTGTGTTCACAGCAGTCCCCCTATTTCTATTTTATGAGTCCCTGATCATCCACGTGAACACCACTGATTCCGTTCTGATGGAGGAGGTATAATGAATATTGACTGGCAGCATGGTAAATGAATGACAGCGCTGTGGTCACCTGCCCTATTCTCATGCTCTGCTCTGACAATAGACATTGACATCATTGACAGTTTCTCTCAACCTCTCACCCAGCTACAGTGACACCATCCACAAGGAGAGATGCCTCCCTTAGTAATAGCACGCAAAGACCACTGAGCCTCCGAGACACCAGCAGCAGGGAGGGAGGTGCTGAGAAGGCTCCAGGATAATTCCATGAAGCCAGTGAAGGGAAATGCTGATAATGGGCCATGTTTGCCGCCACAGAAAGAGAGGAACTCTACCTATTCACATTCACGTCTACTGTGAATTCTAGTCTACTGTGTGGGCTGGGTAGACAAGGCTGCCTCCAGCTTCCCAGGGGGGCCCTCCTCCATCTGACTGTCACCACAGGCCTGCCTGTGCCCTACCTTTCTTCAAGCTTTGCACTTGCACCTTAGGCCTCAGATCCCTGTCCTCGCTTCCCTTACAGAAACCCCTGTAGACAAATGGTGGCTGTAAATTCCTTCACCTCTGTGAGAGATGCAAACCTTCCAGGGTCTGAAGAGGCTTTCCTTTAACATCAAATTAACGTCTAGAAAGATTGGGCCCTAGGCTTCCTGTCTCCATGAGAGGGAGAGAGGCCACCCTCCCCAGATGGCAAGGGCTTGCTGCAGATGGCCTGAGCCCATTGCTAATGCCTCTTACTTCCCTGTGTCCTCAATGCTTCCTACCAGCAACCCTGACATCTGAAAGTCTCCTTGCCTGTCATGTCAGCCAGGTCGAATCCCAGTTGCCCAACCATATCTGCTGTGATTTTTCTTTCCACCCTGCCTCCGAAAGTCTCTACTTCCCCTCCTACACTCTGGCAACTGATGGCCCAAGGTGAGTTCATGGGGGCTGCTAGCTCAGGAGTTTATTAGGAGGACAGCAGAAAACACTTCCACAGCTTAAGCTTTAAGGAAGACAAGGAGAGGTTCATTTGGTGGAGGTGCTGCCCTCCTTACAAAAAGGGGCCTCGGGAAAGGGGAAGAATGGAGAATGGGGGAGGAAGGAGGTGAACAGAATGCTGCGCTTTGCGAGTGGTGTTTCTCTCACACCTTCTCATCTGTACACGGAGATAACCTGACCAATGAAGGACCAGAAAGGGCCCAGCGGCTCCCTGGTCTGAAGCTTTCCTCTGTGATTCTAAGAAAGAGGTCGCGCATGCGCTTGAGCAGCGAAGCCCCCGGCGGGTTCCTGGGTCAGTGTCCCTGACAGCAACCTCTGCCGGCTGCGGGGAGCATGAGAAAAGGCCACATCTTGGCTGAAAAGACATGCAAGTTCATTCACGAGGGCCAACGTCTACCACAGCCTTGGGCCTAGATGGGCTGGGTGGGAAGCTCAACCCCAGGACTCAGCTGTTCATCTCTGTGCAAAGAAAAAGCAACCTGCCTCATGTAAATTAGCTAGCAGTGCTGCGAAGATTAGATGCACTAGCAACATGCAGCAAAGAGAACGGGCGGAAAGAGAAGCTAGAGCTCTCTGCAGCCCGTTTGGCCACAGAGCTGAGAGGCTGTCGTGTGGATGGAGGCAGTACTCTTACAATGCGGCTGATTGAGGCTTTCTAGGAGGAAGACAAAGAGGAAAAATATAAACTCTATCACCAAGCTTCCCTTGCATGGAGTGGTGGCCCTGGGCTCTGTGGTCTTTAAACTTGCTCAAAGTTGCTTTCAAATTATTTTCTGGTTTTGTAGGAGAACTTGGCAAGACGAAAAATGGAAAGAAAATGACTCTCTAAAAGAAAACCTACTCCTACATTACCACATCAGATTCTGACTGACTCAACTAACTGTGCAGTTTGTGACATGGGGAGTAACAGTAAGTGTGCTCAGCGTCTCCCTCCTCTCCTTCCCTCCTTCTGTCTGATTAGCATTGCCGACTCCATCAACTTTAAATGCATATTTCTCCAATTTTCTTTGCCACAACACACACTACTGCTACATGAAGAATGAGCATTTACCTTCATACCACCTACTAGTGACAGTTTCTATCCATCTGAATAGTTTGGATGGAGAAAAAAATCAACCCAGCAGCAGGGGCGCACTCTCTGTGAACCATCTGCCTTTGTTCTCAGGCCATGATGGCTCCTTCCTGTCTGGTGAGCTCTCATCCCATCGAATTCTCCCATTATATTCAGTTTTTGTATGTGATGACAGAGCTGTTCTGCACAGGTATTTGTTTAAACCAACCATCAGTGCAGGAGTAGGACACCTGGCTGATTGGACCATCCAAGGCTTCTAGTCAAGTAGAGTGCTGTGTGTGTGTGTGATACAAATTTGTGCAAGATATTTTATTTTTATTTATTTATTTATTTCCAGAACCGGGAATTCAACTCAGGCCCTTGCACTTTCCAGGGAAGTGCTTATTCCACTGAGCCATCTCCCTGGTGCTTTGCAAGAGATTTTAAAGAGCATCTAGTTGAGCTTTTGAGAGCAGCCTTATAATTAGGCATTTTCTTTCCTACTAGTTTTACTTGTTCCAACACCTTGCACATTCCAGTGAAATGAATCTTCCCCACTCATTACGGAAACTGAGCCTACCTTCACTAAGATGAATGACCAAATATGACCAAGACTTAACAAAAAAAAACCCCAAACTCTTACAAGATCACGTGACTCTTGTTTCCCTGGTGAATCACATTTCCCTAAGGAGGAAACCGGACCTACCTGGAGCCCTTACTCCCTGCAGCCCCTGTTCTCCAGAGCAGGGTACAGAGAGTCTAGCACCACAGTGCCACATGCCAGCCAGCCTCCCCGGCACCGGGCAGCATGGAAAGGCACTCACCATACACTGCGATGGTCTTCGTGTCCTGCAGGATAGCGTTCCCAGCAGACACCTGCACGGTGATGGTGTTCATGCCCTCCGAGGTGAACTTGAACGATATGCTCCCCTCCAAGGTGATCAGGGGCTAGCATGAAGAAAACATGGCTACTGCTGAGCCAGCCACCAACCCGAAGCCACAGACACGCTCAGTGTGATTCCACGGAGGATCTGCCGGGGCACCAGCTTGGAGCGTGTGCTGGCCCCCATTATCTATAGACTTGGCTCTTGCGGCAGTGACTCCACTCAATTCTGCCTGCTCTTTGAGCCTCTCACAACTCCTTCCTGGCCTCATCCTGACTCAGGGATGGGCCAATCTGCAGACTTTGCTTGTTAGTGACACACAAACCTCACTTTTTGTACAGTCTACTCAGGGGAAGCAGATTCCTAATCCAAGACACCACTCACATCAAATGAGAAGCCTGGCTTGTGTTAATCCAAATTTAATAAAGGCTGCTGAAACCTATCCACTGCCAGGTACTCCTCTGCACCGTGCAGTAGTTACACAAAACTACGAGGCAGAGTAGGAACCCTGGACACCAACAGCGGGCTCAGGTAGACGGCAGCGGCCTTGGGCACCAGGGCCCTCTGAGAGGCCCCATCAACGCATGCCTGGAAGTAGCATCTAAAAACAGGAGCACTAATTGCACTGTGAGTTGTGGTTTGTACACTTACGAAAACAATGCTCAGGAAAGCTGGTTCAAACGCGATCAGATGCCAGTGTCTGAAAAAACCATGATTAGCCTACTGACCTCCCCAGACTCACCACTCACATACCGCTTTTTCCATATTAATTAATTTTAAATGACAATTAACTCCCTGTATGGCACAGGGAAAACTAAAACCCACTGGAAGAAGTCTTCTTGACAGGGTCTATTGAGACTTTGGTTTTATTTTAAATAGAAAAAAGAAATTTAAAGACACAAGGGGAGGCCATGCAAAAGCTGCTGGCTGGACCCCTTCTCGTGCTGGCTCGCAGGAAACAATGATTTTTCCTCTTCCACCGTGAGGGAGGCACGCAAATGGGCCAGTGTCACACAGGCACCAGGAAAAGTAAGGGGGGGCTTCTGCTAGCAGTGGGCAGGCCCAAGAGCACTCCTCCCCAGCCTGTGCCTAACTGTGTCTGCCCCACACAAGAGCCACGCACGCAGCCGAGTGGATTCTAGGAAAGGTAGCGTGGGGTGGCAAAGCTTTGGGGTCGCCTGCGTGGGGGGGGAGCTGCAAGAGCTGGGTGCGAGAAACTTCGCCTCGGTGTTCCTCCCTTCTCTCCTGCCGTGGAAGGACTGAGGAAACCGAGTCCAGGGCTTTGAGAAGCTTGAAGATTACGGGTGACTTTCAAGCACAAGGAATGGTCAGGGGAAGCATGAAATATGACACTGACCCCAAAGACTTGGCACATCAGCCTCAGGGTGAGGAGGCCTGTGTGTGTGTGTGTGTGTGTGTGTGTGTGTGTGTGTGTGTGTGTGTTGGGGGCACTGTCATGACCACAAGTGCCCATTTGCCTCATTTGCTTTCAGGTGCTCCTCTCCTCTCTAGTGTGAGTCAAACGCTTCCAAGAACGCTGCCCTCAGCACCTCCCTCTCCTTCCAAGGCACTGTGGTCAAGGATTAGCCAGTAACACTCAATGCCAGGACTTCTGTTGCAACTTTTTGAAAAAGCATAACTCCTCTGCTGAGCTGTGACTGAGTGCTACAGGTCAATGCAAAGAGAAGTCCACCTAGAGCAGGACATGGGGGGAGGCAGAGATGCCAGGGAGGTGGGTGCTGAGCACAGGCAGCCTGTGACTCTGGGGCCAGGTCTCCCCTTGCTTCCCTGTCTTTTCTGCTTCCTCCAGGGGGGCTGGGTGTCTATCCCTGCTGTCCCCAGACACCACGTGGCAGGCACACTCACCTCCGAGTTGTTTCCGTACCACCACACGTACGTGAGGGTGCCCACTTGGCTGGGCCACAGCACTGCAGTTGCGTTGACCTCTTTGTTCTTTGTAGTGACGAAGGGGAGAGAAAGGTGCACGTGCTCCAGGGGACCTGAGACACGAGAGAAAGCGGCGCCGTAGAGGAGCAAGGGCTCTCTCCGCTCTGCAGAGGCTGCTTACCCTGGACCACTCCCGCTCCCACAGCGCAACTGCATCCTGCCCCCTGCCTGTTTCTGGAACTTTCTTTCCCATCTATGCCCTCAGCTATCTGTGTTTAAAAGTTCAAGGTTTACTAATGACTGATGAAGTCTTTAAAAGAACAGACATAAGATTGCTCAGGGTGACACTGACTCTCCAAGAGTTCATGTTGTGGGTGACAAACTCAGATCATGGAGACTTTATAGAATCCACAAGAAGAATGAATTCCCTGGGCCAGAGAATAACTGCCACAAGTAATTATTCTCTAGTGTTAAATCATCTTAAAGAATTGTGCGTGCATGTGTGCGTGTGTGTGCGTGTGTGTGTGTGTGTGTGTGTGTGTGTGCACCTTTGCTTGGACTCCTGGCCCAGGTCAGCTTCCAGCCTGAATTTGGCACCCCTCTTTGGGCCTTTCACCAGCTCCCAGACCCAACTTAGGTCACTGAGTGAGAAGCCTGGAACCGCAAAAGCTATGCTGCAAATCCCAACTCCATTCCGCACAAGTCCACTTTCTTCATCTGTCTCATCTACAAGCACGATGTATTACTTTAAGTCAGAACATCAGAGTAAGGGCTCTGTGCATGCGTCCCGACGGCAGGAGAAGCACGCAGCCTCCTTACTGGCTAACGGCCTCGCAGTGGTCAGCAGGTCCTGAGTGCTGCCTGATGTTAACTGCTATTTTAGGCGTGGGGACACCCAGCACTTGGCCGAGTTTAGACACTTCCGGTGGGGAGGAGGCACTGAACACAGAAGGCAGAGCGAGGCGACAGTGTGCCGTCCTGACAGAGCGCTCAGAGAAGACCTCGAGAAGAGATGACACTTGAGCAGTGAGCGGAAGACGTGGAGACCGCACCAAGGACCACCATGGAACGCGCGGAGCCGGCAGGGCCAGAGCTGGGAGCGGGAGGAGCCGCCCGGCTGGCGCAAGGAAGGATGCAGGACCTCGGAGGCGCTGTGGCCTTGCAGGACCTGGGGTTCAGCTCCCGGGCCGAGCCAGCTTATGCTCATGGGCCACCTACGCGCTATTCCTGCAGGGCTGTCTGAACACTATCTTCCGGACTTCCAAGGCAGCCTTCTGAGGGGTATAAAATACCTGGTTCCTGCTGCCCGGAAGCCTGTCTTGAATCACCTCTGTTCTACACAGAGGTTGCACTGGGTCCCCAAAGGAGCCACCAGCCAGCCAGCCGCCCTGAGCCAGGCCTGAGCTGGACGCTGACAAGCAGATGCACCAAAGCGACAGCAGGTGGCGCCGCGCCACTGTGTGAACCTTCTGAAAGGCACCCGAGGCAACCTGGAAAATTACCTGTGTGAGTTGGGGTTCCCTTCTCTTTTCTTCAACAGCTTTCTCGTACTTTAAGAAACCAATGACCTCCGTGAAACTGAACAGAGTGCGTGTCGTACGCTGACCGCTCCAGCCCGATTCTGCCATTTATATTCTGGAAACCCCCGACCATTTAATTAAATACTGTGTATTATACTTCTCTCTCTCTCTCTCCTTCCCTCTCTTTGTAATGCTGAAATAAAAGCCACTAAAAGTACTCAAAGTGGTCCAGATCACAAGGAAGGGACGCTAGCACAGGGCTCCTCAAATGTCAGCGTGCGGACGCCCGGTACCGATCTGTTCCCAGCGCCTTGCGAGGCTTCCGCCCCAGAACGGCTGCGAGCAGGTCTGAGCTGGGGTCGCCCGCGCTACCACGCTTCCACTGCTCAGTGCAGGGACAGGCAGCCCTGCGGACAATACTTTAGACAACTGCGGGCTGATGTGTGCCAACCAACATGGTGACGCTGGCATAACTGCAAAGCCACGTAGTTTCTCAGGCCAGGCGGATCACTTCCTGAGAGGGGGCCAGAAAGGCATTGCACACTGCTCCCGCGTTGTGGAAGTGGGCGCAGGAGACCAGCTGGTCCACCTCATCTTTCCTCCACCTCTCGTTCTGCAAATCTGCAGAGTCCTCAGGGATCCTTTCTGCAAGACGGCCAGGATAGGGCAGCAGTCTGAGCAGAAACCTGCACTCCCCCAAGTCCTGTGCGACCGGGTGAGGGTCAAGCTACATGCACCACGTGCCGCATCAGTTTGCAAAGTAGGGGGCGCACTGAATGGGACCCCAAGGAATTTCCAACTGCCAGGCTTCAGTGGATTGCTCAGGCACCTGCGGGAGCCGCGGCCCACTCCCGGAAACATTACAGCAGGGACACAGGCTCCTTTTGTTTCCAATGCCTTTGCAGACCGTGTTGAGAAGACTCTGATGTGAAATCAGATCATCCTCCTGCACTGGACGGTGGTGGGCGAGTGAACCTAAGACAAGCAGCAGGGCCTGGGGCTGGGCTAAGGCATGAGAGACAGGAGGGCTGGCCAGCTAGGAATCTCTGCTAATTCTCCTTTATCTCAGAAGCCACCTGGTCCAAATGCCTATGCCATCTTAGGGTGATGGAGAAAGCAATGGCTGACAGGGTGCCACATGCTGTGTTTGCAGGGACACCGTGTCCCTTGCTTTACGTCACTTCACAGACGCAGTGTCTGCTTTGAGGGACAGCGTGACCCTGCCAAGGCCTGGCTGTAGTCCGAGTGCCAGGCTTCGGGTTTCTTGCTTTTTCCATGATGCCAGCCCTGTCCCCTCCACCACATCCTGGCATCAAAAGTTGCTCGAGTCCTTCTAGGTGCTACAACTGGAGAGTGTGACTCAGCGCTGTTCTTAATCTGAGTTTGTCTGAGCCCCAAACTACGCTAAAGCCACAGCACTCTGCTGGTCCTTGTCTTCTCCATCTAAAAGAAGGCCCTGAGTCATCCGTCACGGCGCAGAGGCCATGACAAAGCATTTGCCTGCACAGGAACGTGCTCTGGATCCTTCAGGGAAGGCCACTGAGCAGAGGGCCAAGACCCGCCGTGACTGCTGTGGCTCAGCTCTCAGCTGATGCGCGCTAGGAGCAGCTTACTACATGGTCCTGCTCCATGCAGTCAGTATAAACCTGCGAATTCTTTCCAGCACCAGGCTCAGACAAGTTGCTTCATACAGTAGGCACCTTTATCCCACCACTACACCCCGATTAAGATTAAATCAGAACACAGGCTCGCTATTATAGATCATCCCCGACTAAGGTTAAGGTCAAGTATTTTGCCCAATCAATCAGCCTGTTGAGATGAAGAAATTATATAGGAACAAAGAAACACCCCCTCTTTTTAAAAAAAGCCATAGGCTTTTGTGGCCCCTCATCTTGGGCAGTGCCAAGCTGACCTGGGCTTCCTGGGCCAGAAAGGGGTCTCCCTGGGGGGCAGGGGTGGACCCAGGCATGGATGGATGAGGGCAGGGCAGCAGAAGAAGCCCTGGGGTGCTGTGGAGGATAAGCCACAGAAAACTCGGTGGGACACTGAGAAATTATGACCAGAAACTGATACTGAATTTTAAATCTGTCTCTGCAAGAACTTGGCATAGGGTTGGGACATAGTAAGTGTGTGAGAGATTGAATGTGGTTACGATCCCTGAGGCAGTAGCTGTCTAGCAAAAATCTCTGTAGGGTCAGCTGTGGGGGGATATGCTGTCTGGGAGGCAGCTGTCCTCCCGCGAAGTTACTGCTACTCACTGCTGTTGGTGTAGCTAGTTTTGGTTTCCACTCAAAATTAATGTTGCTGGTGACTTTGAAGGGTCTCAATACTATTCCCATGATATCATCACTTCGTTCCCCAAGTCAAGGTGGAGAACCTATGGCATGCATGCCCCAGCCAGCTGTGTGCTGTCAGTGAAAGCTCTAAAACACTCTCCATCACTTCCCTAATAAATAGGGTACTATGTTGGCAGCTTGGGACATTATACCCAACATGCCTTAAGCCCACAGAGCCATATAGGCCAGCACTGTTTTTATTCTAAAACCAGTGCTTCCTGGGGTGATCCATGAAGATGTGCCGGGCCAGCAGATGCAGGGCACAGGAGGGGCCCCCTCATTTGGAGCTCATTTGACTGGTTCCTCCAAGTCCCACAACCGTTGGCACCGACGCTGCTTTCAGGTTGAGGGCTAGGGTACGTGAGAGTCAGCTGCAACCAGGTACGTAGCGATGTGCACTGCAAATGGGTCATGGTCGTACCCTGAACCTCTGTACAGCAGGGTTTCTACCTGTTGCCCTACCCAGGACTATGCTGATAAATCAGATATCCACACTGAGAGCCTACTTGGGGTCAAGCGTGGCTGGCACACAGAGTCAGATCTTAATAAAGTGCAGCCAAAGCTGGGAGAGGGAGCGAGTAAACCGGGAATCATTTCACCTTCGCGTAGATGTGAAGCGGGGCACGTTTGGCTCCAGGAAGCCCCTCCACGCTGAGTCTACAGGAGAGAAGGATCACCCTGAAGGACTCAGCATCGCAGGTAGATTAGGAGGCACCCTGAGCAACTGCTCTCTTGGGCATCCCTGTCTTGTCCTGTCACTGGACCTTAGCACTTTATAAAACACACTTCTAGTTCATGCGTTCTGCATTCTGGTTTTCCTGCACCCAGGTGCATGGGACAGGTGTGCCGCAATGCTGGCCTGAACTCGCCAGGCAGGAATACAAAATGTGAGTGCGGCCATTCAGATAAAAGGGCTACTTCTGAAAAGTAAGCTACGTTTATAGCAACCCAAGCAAGCTTAGGCCTGCGGGGAAGCGCTTACCTTACTTAGCACACAGTGTAGAGCAAACATTACTTAGGAGCTACCCTGGTCACTACTCCGGCCTTCGTGCTCCTCCATAGGAAACACTTAGCGCCTCTCGGAGCTGTCTCCTACGTACACAGGTAGCGCAGCCCGTGTAAACATGCTCTCCCTCAAAGCTACCCTCAAACACCAAGCTATGCACAGAGAGAAGCCCGGGAAAGATGAGAGTTTTTAAGAAAAGGAAGATCATTAAGAGCAAAGCATAACACGGGAAAGCAGAAGCAGATGGGAGAGAAATTCCTGTGTGGCGTTCATTTGACTGAACTATCCGAGTATCTTGCTTTCAGCATTTCTGACCAAGGGGGAAATGGACAGATTGCTGTTTCAGCACACAGCTTGGGCGTGTCCAGCCCAGCCCCGTGGGCCGGGGCTGCATCTCAGCGGTTCCTGGCAGGCAGCCTCAGTGCCACAAGGGCAGTGGGAAGCGGTTCTGACTCTCCTGGAGCTTTCTTCTATGCTCTTACTTGGCTCTTGCATTCTCCTACTTTCTGTTCTTCTGCTAAAAGATAATTGCTACCTTTCCTCCACAGAGTAAATGCCGCATTAGATTTTAAATCCGCTCACTACATACGATATGTCAAAAGCCAACAATAGTAACAACATACAAGTTACATGTAAGTACAGGACGGCGCTGTCAGACCCCAGACTGTTGTCCACTTGCACGGTCACTCGGAAGATGCCCACGTTCTGGTAGACGTGTTTGATCCCATCCTCCATGGAGCTGAGGTTGACATATGACACTGCGATGCCATCGCCGAAGTCCACCTGGATGAGCGTCCGCTGAACGTCACCCTGCAAAACAGCCTGGGGTCAGAGAGAAGGGACTTGGAGCGGGGATGCCCTTTGCTCCCCTTGGATGCGGGGAGCAAAGCATGTGTCTATTTTGGCAGAAGCCCTGTGACTCTCTTGGCAGGCAGGGGTTCACTAAGAGAGATGCTCTCCAAGTCCGCAGGGCACTAACTCACCAACAATTCAAGGCTTGGAAGACAGCGGTGTCTGATTATCAATATCAATTTGAGATTTGGCTCCTCAGAAGACTTTGGGAATCATTTTATTGTCCACACAACTCTAACAACAAGACACTCAGTTTCCCGATATTTGGCTGATCTTATGTGACCATGAGCCACTCCCAGGGTCTTCAAGGACCCTGAATCATCCTTGTTATACTTGATTTCTTAACTTGGCAGAGAAGAGATGGAGACATCTTGTCTGACACCTGGCGTGATACTGCACTCAGCCCTGTCACTACTTAAGAAACAATGGCTCGCAGGCATGGTGTACACACCTGGGAGGTGGAGGGAGGAAGAGCCCATGTTTGAACCCAGCCTTAGAGAATTAGTGATTTAGCAAGAGCCTGTCTCAAAACACTAAAAAGGAGTGGGGGGACATAGCTCAGTGTAAAAGCCCTGGATTCCACCCTCCGGACCATAAAAGCAATTATATTAATGGCTAATTCTTCTAAAATTCAGTATGTGGCAATACCAAAAGGATCACCTTTATTCTTCATGGAATTTTAGAGTGGAAGGAGTGCGCAATGTCCCCCCATTTTGCCCATAAGGAAGCTGAGTCCTAGAGAAGCTTCACGGTCTGCCCAAGCGGGTTCTTCTAGCTTCCTTCTTACAGGGGAATGGACTGCTGATGGCAAACAGCTGGAGGCTGCTTGGGGCTGGGATCCCAGAGCCATTGGTAGGCTGGATGACCATATGCCAGCCACCCAGCCTCCCTTTGGTATCGGGGACCAGGTTAATGAAATGGGCTTAATAAATCCTTGCCTAGGAACTCCAAGGGTTGTCATAGCAACATCCAGGTAACTAAAAACCTGGAAAGGGCCCTATGGAAACATGTCTCCAAATACTCAGCTGCACAAGACTTAGTGTTGCTTTAAAGATTAGTATCAAGTGATTCTGAATGTCTCATATACAAACAGAAGATCATATATGTGTCATAAAGCACCAGAACCATGAAAAAGAAATGGCATTTAGAATGACAATGTAGATTTTCAAAGAACCAAGTTGCTTAGATCAAACTGGCGAAAGCAAGCTTCTCTCGGATAGTCCACGCGTTAGCCAGCTTGCTTGCTTTTCTTTCTTCCTTCCTTCCTTCCTTCCTTCCTGGCCTGCCTGCTTGCTTTTCTTTCTTTCTTTCTTTCTTTCTTTCTTTCTTTCTTTCTTTCTTTCTTTCTTTCTTTCTTTCTTCTTTCTTTCTTTCTTTTTTCTTCTTTCTTTCTTTCTTTTTCTGTCTTTCTGTCTTTCTTTCTGTCTTTCTTTCTGTCTTTCTTTCTGTCTTTCTTTCATACCCTTTCTCATTTTCTGGGAAATTTTTTTAAAGGAAACATTTGAACTAGAAGTGTATTTTCAGTTAAGTAAGGTTTAGAAGGCATCATGTTTTTGAAAAGGCCAAGTTTAAAATGCTGACATTTAAAAGATTAATTTAAAGATGAAAGAAAAGCAGTTCCAATCGTATGCATCTATGTGCCCGACTCCTCTGATCTACGCCCAGCCACGCACTGCATGGGGCACAGAGCAGCCAATTCTCAGAAAAAAATAGTCCAGCTCTCGGTCAGCACACAGGAAATGTTCTCCCCTGGGGGAGGAAAAGACACGTCATTGAAAACTACAAAGAAATACCCGCCAGCTCAGTTGTTGTACAAGGACTTGAACTCCCTTCGCTAATAAATAAAAATGTCAACCATCGCTGCTCTCTGGTCGCTCACTTGGAAAGCCCAAGCGGACGATCAGGCTCATATTTTGGGGGCATGCGCACTTCCAAGTCTCTCCGCTTTCAGCAGATCTTCCGGAGGCCAGGCCGGGCGTGCGTCTGGGGAAGAGCCCACCAAGGGAAACCAGGCACCAGGGCAGAATCGGGGCAGATGGGGGCATCCACGGCGTGACACACACAGCAGGTTCCATAGACAGCTGGCCAGGGTCAGGATAGACTGGCCTGGGGCTCTTTGTGGGGACAGAGCAGGCACAGGCAGGGACAGTTATTTGGAAGGCAACTGAGGGATGGTTTGACTGTCACATTTTAGCCAGTACTGTTTCAAATGGAAGGAGGAAAGCAGAAGTCTGCAGCCCAGGGAAGAGCAAGGTTTTAGCGGCCCTAGTGCGAGCCTCTCACTGTGCCCTTTTCCTTCAGTAGTATTTGCCTTCTGTGGACTGGACTTAGAAGACCTGTCCAGCGCAGGAAGCTGCCCCCGGGTTCTGCCGGTCCGTGTGCCACGCCTGTCTTCTGGCTTCACAGAATTCTTGTCTGTGCTCACGGTGCACACGGCAGATGCACGCAGCAGGGACCGTCGCCATGCGCGGGTGAAGGCCTCCCTGCTGCCTTCACAGAGTCAGGCTTGTGGGACACACACAAGTGCGTGTGCATACACACACACACACACACACACACACGCACACTGCAGATAAGTCATAACTAAATGAACAAATGTGGTCTGTGTTTTCAAGATCTTACAACCGCTCGAGGAAGATGCACTAGAGATAATCAGAGGCGAGCATGAATCACTGCAGGCGTGAGGAGGGGTGGGGCACCGTGCCCTAAGCTTGGGCCAAAGGAAGGACGGCAAAGGTGACCCGTCTGGGCGCTTCAAATAGGTGTTTTCATACCACCTGTGAGCTTCTCCACCCCACTGAGTTCTCACTTGGTTTCTTTCCATGAAAATCACTTATTATATCTTTCATGGTGGGAGAAAGGTGGTGTCCAAGATGGGCCACTGTTTCCTTTCCTTGTCTGACGCTATTCCTGCCTGCAACTGTCTTCTCCTCCTTCTATGTCTTTATTTATTTATTTTTTGTATTTAGGACAGGGTCTCACTGTGTAGATCCGACCCGTAGTGATCCTCCTGTTTACCACTTCCCAAGTGCTGAGATTACAGGCTAGTGCCACCACGTCCAGTCTCAATGGCTGCTTCAGTGTGCCCTGGGGGCGGGGCCGGTACAGCAGGCCTGGGAATCGAACTCCAGGCCCCTGAGTCTGCCTAAGCAGGTGCTTTAGTCCACTGAGCTATTTGGCCAGCCCTCCATCAAAAGGATCCATTGCCACAAATTCCCATCTCACACCTCCCATCTGCCCTCCGGTAAAAGAATTTTATGTTTAAGCCATAAAGTGGACAGAGAGATGAGGAAGGTGGGGCTCAAGTCAGCGGCTGGAAAATTCTTCTGTGCAACTGAGAGTTACCTCAGCCTAATAAATGACAAATCATCCTTTTCCAATGGAAGCCAGGCTGGCAAACGTGTGCATCACCATGTAGAATTCTTCAGGTCTACTGTCCCTGACTCATCTGCTGCCATCCATGTAGTTACAGAACCGAGAATATTAGCTCCAAATGCCTGAGAATGACAGGAAAGCCTCACAGGGTTGTCTGTGGGCCTCACTGATTCTTTCACAGGAAAACAAATACATCAGACAGCCATAATGAAGCGAGATTAACTTCAGCAGTGAAAGGTGCATGAACCTATCAGCTCCTGGAACGTGGACGCAGAGGACGAGGGAAATAAATGTCACAGTGACTGGGCTCTGGCAGCTCATCAGAGGCAGCCACCGAGACACCCCTGAGCCACTCAGAAGGTCACTGCACTGCAGACAGCAGAAACTCCCTGTCAGACCCTAGTCTCACACAGCTGCACGGGGCTGACTCCAGCTCCAAGACATTTGTCTTGGGTGGAAGCATAAACATCATCCAATGAACTCCACAGAGAAATGACTAGCGTAACCCATTTTTATTAAAAATAAACAAAACTGACACAGTTGATGCAGCCTGCACCTGGGCGTGCTGGCGTAGGAACACAGAAGGTGCCGGCAGGCGCACCAGGGCTGACTACCGTGCCCTGGGGGGAAGGGAGCTGCAACACCCACAGGACTGAGCCAGGAGCCACCAGGTGAGTGCCTTACACCTACCAGGGAGTGGGTTATCACATAATACCAGAAACCCTGCAGAATACAGCTTATCCTCTACTAGGACTGTAAATATTGCTTGACTATTGGGGAATAACCGGAAGGTAACATAGATACTAGGCTATTGGATGCTGGGATACAGCCGTACTTTGGTTTGGAGTATCTGGTGTGAATTTAGTGCTCTTTTAACCACAGATTAAGGCAAACATACCATCAAACAGCATGAAGTGATACAAAAAAGCTAGCTATGTATGTCAGCCCTTTTTTTCTTATGACTGTAGATATTTAGGCAGAGCAGGGCCATACACCATTGCTTGGCAGACCTGCTCCAGGTAGGTGGAGTCTGACTAACAAAGCCTTGACCAATAGGAAAAACAGTCACTATGCTACAAAGTGACGTGGCTTTGAAAGACAACAGTGTAGAATAAGTATATGGGGGAAAATCCTATCCACATTCTCTGTTTTTCAAAATAGATGAATGTGGGCAAATGAGAATGCAGGTAAGATGGCCTTACATTCTGGAACATTCTTTGAGAAAGGAATGACATTTTCTGAAATTCATTGTGGCACAAATAACACATTTAATAATAATAATAATTTCTAATACATTATTTGCTTAATCTTTAACTGGTAAAGACTCAGACCTGTTTAGTTTTTCCTAGAGTTACAAGAATGGCTTGAAGCAAGCTCTTCCTAGGACCAACCCTACACTTCCTCCAGGCCTGTGTGGAAGACAAGTGAACTGCTCTGCAGAGCTCACTCTCAGAAGGTGCTGAAGTGTGCAGTTGCTCAGCTCAGGGTAGTTGGCTTTCCTTCATAAGCAACGCAAGCTGCTGTGGTTTGAATGTCCCAGCTGGTCATTCTTATAAGACGGGGTTAGTCATATTATAAGTGTT